ACAAAAGTCGTAAAAGGTAATTGATAAAGTTGATTAGTTTTTGTTTTGTTGCGTGCACCTATATGCGTAATGTAAAAACAAAAACCCTCTTTAATACATACTTGGTTCGGGAGCAGCGTCTGTTTCGTTCAAGTAGAGTTCATATCCAGAGGAAGAGTTCCATTTAGGAAGATATCGATGTGAAATCGACAGGGATGAGCAAACAAAGTATAGAGAGCATTGAAAGAAATGAACTCAATGAAAACAATATAGACAAAGGCTGGATTCAAGGTGTTGCATTACGTGCCACGGGGCGATGGGACTGTGATGGTCCCTGAAATTGGTCAAACAAAATATGTACATTTAATTAATAAGGGCAACATACTGGTATAAAGTTATAAAACCAACATGAAAGGTGATATCAATAATGCATACTTAGCTCTATATACGTATGCAGTTGTTGATGATCACGACGAGGTTCAATTAGTAATAGATATCAAGGTCGAAGAGGATATAATGAAACAAAGAAAACAGTGTAGGGAGGTGACTTTGATGTCAGTGTCGGTATTACATACCACGACGTTCGACGATTGGAACTATTTTTTTAAGACAGTACATAAGGAAAAGATGGAGCAAAAGTCAGTCTGCAGATAAGCATTTAGATACAAACTAATACGAACTAGGACCATTAAGATGTTGGTCCCCACCTCTTCTCGGATTACGAACCATCAACCTTGAACCTAACGCAAAAAGAAAGATAACATACCTGGTTCAGCGACATTGGGAGCTTGTAGAGCAGGGAGAGCAGCGACAAAGGTCGAGAAAGTTGCAAGGATGAAGGGACGGAGAATAGCTAATTTCATTTCCTAGGACATTTTTGCTTTAATTTGGATGTGCGTGAAGGTGGGGAGGCGATCAAGTAGGACGTGTTCTTTTTATACTTGAGTTGAGTATTGATGTGGATTTAATGCTGATTTAGACCATATGTCGACCTGTCAGTTTGACAGTACTTTAATTCATTTTCTTTCTTTAAAGGAAGTCATGCCAAACCAATGTAAATACGGAATCCATATTGGGTGCCAATCGCAAATGTTATAGCTTTCCGAGTAATGCCAGTGCTAGATCCTGGCAACTTACCCATTTATGGAGAGCTGTTCTTACATCGCCATGCAGATTTCAAAGGGATGGCCTTGCGTTTATAGGATGTGACTTCTTATTAAACGATAGATGTCAAATTAAAGAAGAGTAAAATATGCGCGGGTCGTCATGCCTTTTTTTCTAAAACGTTTGCGACTGCGTTTGCGTGGAATCTGGATCGTGAACAAGGTACCCAACATTAGACACAGCTACCAAAAGGTGCCAAACTTCGACATCGGCAAGATTTGACTTGCGCTTGAACTTGCGCTGGGAAACCACAATAGATTTCTAGTCTATCGCCTTAGACCACTTGGCCACGATGTATTGATGAAGATAGTATGAATCTGAGATGCCGCGGAGTCGTGACGACAAAAATCTTTGCAAAAATATACAAGTTCGGTTGTCAGTGTTTTTTAAAAATATTACCTTGCTCGACATCGGCAAGATTTGAACTTGCGCGTGGAAACCACAACAGATTTCAAGTCTGTCGCCTTGGGCCGCTCGGCCACGATGTCTGGATGAAATAGTGAGGAATCTGGAACCTCACATATGGATTCAGCACTAGAAAGTCGTGCGTGCAAGGCAGTTTGGAAAATTTCCACAACTTAATTGCATGGACGAAATTAATTGTCCCATTATCGCGCGGCTTGAAGTAAATTAAACGTTTTTGTAAAATTGTGATGTATGTGATCAACGCGTCAGAATATATAGCAATGAATCAAAGCAAACTTTTACAATTGAGAACTATTTTTTTTCCGTTGTTTTTTGGTGCATGTGGTCATTGAGAGATTTACACATTTGACTGCAAAGCCATGATTTGAATTGTTCTAATTTGGGATTTACATGGATTTTCGAAAGTATGTCAGAATATGGCACCAGAACCATACGAAATAATAGT